AATTCTCTGTCTGTTTCTTGCTATAATTATTAAGGAAACTTATTAGGGTCCATTTGTCACGATTTTTTTTACTCATCGTAGAAAAGTTTTTTGAAAAAGTTATCTTGATTTTATTTAAAAATTAATTTTTAAAAGAGTTTTCAATTTCTGAAATACTTTTAGGGCCTATTGACTTGACTTTTAAAAAAGTCAAAGAAGTTTTTGATACCCAAAAACTATTTTTGGATTCATTTGACTAATTTTATAAAAGTGTTTCAGATAGTTAGAAGTGTTTTTAGAGGAAGATGGTTCCTTAAAAATATTTCCGGAACAAGAAGTGTTTTTAAAAATTAGTTTCCAAAGAACATTATGGCAACTTCTTACATAAACTCTTCTGCAAGAAACAAAAGCAAAAATTAAAGGTATGTTAGGTATGCCCTTAAAAGAAGTCGAATTTGATCAACTTCCTTTAAAAGCTCATCTAACTAAAAGAAGTAGGCTGTTTGACATGTCTTTTATTTTTACTTTCTGTTGAAGAGATTTTGGAGGAACATACCTTAATTTTTATTTGAAAACTAGTTTTTTAAAGAATTTCTTATTTCGAAAGTACTTTAAGAGAAAGTTATATTTGACCAACTTACTTTAAAACTCTTCTAACTAGAAGAAATACTTTTGTAAAATTAGTCAAAAGGTTCAAAAACTCTTTTTGACTTTTCAAAAATCAAGCCAAACAAGTTTGGCATTTTTTAAAAAATTAGTCAAACAATTTAGAAGTAGTTTTTGAGTCTCAAAATCTCCTTTGACTTACAAAAATTTATCAAACAGATGCTTAGACTATCAATTGTTTGAGTCCCATTTTTTTGAAAATTCATTTTTTCCAGAACTCATTTTTACCTACACATTTTTCAATAAAATAATATTACACCAAAATAGAAATCTTTTTCTTAATTTTTAACCACATATTTTCTAAAATCACTATTCAAAAATACATTTTTTCTCTCCAATTGAGGCTCAAACAAGGACATGTTATTCAGATATTGCAAGATAACCATAACTCCATGACAATGATATGTATAAGGAAAATTTTCGAGCTAAGTTTAAGTTTTGTTGGCTAAAATTTGGAAAATCTATAAAAGTTGTATTGTATATCAAAATTTTAAACAGACATCTAGATTATACTCTGCTAGAAAATTAAGTCAAACTCTAACTTGATTTGCTTGGACGAGAGAAAGATGTGAATACTACCAACCAAATGAAGCCCCAATAATATGTTTTTTTTTCAATGAAATATAAAAATGAAAACTTTTTTCAACATGATCTAAAGTTAAAAAAATTTTGTCACTCTTCTATTTATGAAAATTAACTTTTGTTACAAAAAATGAATCTAATCTACATGTTCTTAAATGGCAGAAAATATAATTAAACAAATAATTCAATTTAAACTTCTAAATAAAATAATTTATCGTAACATGTAGAACGTTGATTTCATGGCTTCATGGTTTATTGAGTTCCTTTTTTGTTACATTATCCTACTATATTAAAAAAGGCAGTTTTGGGTTACTGTAGATGCAATAGTAATTCAATGAGATGTTGCTATTCATTTTCTCCATTTTTACACCTCCAGTCCTTCAATTTTATACCACATCATTTTTTCCCCAATCTGCTATAAAAACTTTGAATAGTCATGTATTTATTCATGAATTATTCTTTATTCTCGCCCACATATTTAGAATCACTATAATATAACCAAAGGAAAATTACTATTCACAAGTGAGATCAGAGATTATCGAATAGGAAAAG